ACCATAACTCTTGTTCATCACTTGATATTTGACATATAATGGTTATTAATTTATTACAACTTGCATGAGTACTGCGTGTAGCAAGTTGTACTTATCTTAAAATTTCATCTAACATGTTATATTTTCTTGCCAATTCCTTGAACGTTATGGTATACTGATTTTCCCAAGCTCCTACACCTTCATAGCTTCTTCCTTGGTTTCTTACAAGAACTTACCTCTCATCTATGAAATTCTGTAACATATGAAGATATCTTGGTTGTAGTTTTAGGAAGCAACTAAATGAGTATTTATTTATTTATTGTTGCTGCTTCTTGATCTATCCTACAGAAGAAACTCTTTGCAAGTATTGGTTTTAATCTCTATCTGCCTAACCATTTTCTTGCAGAATCGATTGCTTGCGATGAACTACATAAATGAAGGACATGATGATAAACTTTTTGTCGCTCACAGGTCTCAACTAATTCCTCTTTAACTTTGCATGATCACTTTTCTTTCTCTTTATTCAGTGAATGTAATAAACTTCATATAAAGAGAAAAAAAATTGATAAAAACATTGGTACATTTAGAGCTAGTTATATAGCCATTTTGTAATTTAACATTACCCTTATAATAAAGATACATTATAAATGTTTTGCCTAGTATTAGCGACAATTGCAGTTTTCTTATTGGTATATATTCTTTTTTATGTTCTGCTTGCCAATTTCACAGCAATGTTTAACCTCAAAATGGGAGTTGTAGATTTGTTGATGCTTAGTTGAATTTATTTGCATGCAGGGATTGGGGTAGGCGCTTTATGAGGTTATATCCACAGTACACTTCATGGGACAATCCAAAAGATCCAGAACGACCCCTCATCATTGGATATGTGTCTCCTGATTATTTTACTCATTCTGTTTCATATTTTATAGAAGCTCCGCTTGCCCATCATGAATACACAAAGTACAAGGTGGTTGTGTATTCTGCAGTAGTGAAGGTATTGATTTTCTTATTTTATTTTTACATTCATCCAATGTAGTTATCCATTTTACGTTTAAAGTTTATGTTTCCTGTAAACCATGTCTTACTTTTTTATCTGCAGCTTTTGCCAGAATTATACTCTCTTTGCTTTCAGTTCTGATTATAACACATTTTCTAAAACCATATGTTTAATGAGACATATGCACTTAGTTTAGTTTTCCTCGTCTCCTGTCTTCGTTTCTTCTCTGTCCCCTAACCAAACAGACCCACTATAAAATTGCTTAGTTAATTCTCAGTTGGTCATAAGTTCACATGTTCTCTCGAATTTATCTTTTTTTATATATTTAATTTCAATGCTGTTATAAAGTTAATAACTTGTCATTGTCTATAAGATCAGATACTACTTAAGTATTTTTATCCCACATACAATTTGGAATTGACTTTTATATAATGTCACAGGCAGATGCCAAGACTATTAGGTTTCGGGAGAAAGTCTTGAAAAAGGGTGGGATTTGGAGAGATATATATGGGATTGATGAAAAGAAGGTTGCAAGCATAATTAGAGAAGATAAGGTTGATATCTTGGTGGAACTTACTGGCCATACTGCAAACAATAAATTGGGAACGATGGCATGCAGGCCCTCACCTGTTCAGGTATGTTGAAAGGTGTTCTAATTTTCTCAGGCAGTTGGCTTTAAACATTCTTGTTTCTGTTTTCTGCGTATTTTCTTTGTCGACGTTTGTCTTGTAGACTTATAGTATAATATACAAAATATTTTATAATATGTTGCAAATCTTTATTTTTTTTCCTTTTCGCCTCATCAAATCTGAAAGTTGAGGAATTTAAAAGAGAATGTTTATCCTGGAATAGGCAGTTGCAATTTTCCTGTTTATTGGGCAACTTTCAAAGCGTCGTGAGTTGCTTTATATATTGAAGCCTAATATATTTCCTTTCAGTCCGAAAATGTGGGCCTCCCATTAAATTTGTCCTTTCATTTTCATGTGCCTCACTCACTGTTTACGGGATTGTGTTTTCTAAGTAGCTAACCTTCTATTTCTGGATGTACAGGTGACCTGGATTGGCTACCCAAACACAACTGGTTTGCCGGCGATTGATTATAGAATCACAGATTCTCTGGCAGATCCACCTGATTCAAAGCAGACGTAAGTCTGGTCCTATTTAGTCCTATGATAATTACTCTTTTTCTTCTGGTTTTAAGGATGAGTATCTGATAGAGTAGGTTGTATCAGTACTTTTTAGTAACTTTGTCTATTTTTTTGGTCAGGCATGTTGAGGACTTAGTTCGATTACCCGATTGCTTCCTGTGTTATACACCTTCCCCTGAGGCTGGGCCTGTTATGCCCACTCCTGCTCTTTCCAATGGCTTTGTTACTTTTGGAAGCTTTAATAATCTGGCAAAGGTATTAGTTAGGTTTCTTTTGTTCTTGTAATCAAGCATATAGCTACAACCATAAGCAATCTGATCACGTATCATATTATAAAATTTTTGTTTCTTACCAAAAAAATAGGATTACATTTGTATTATGTTTTGTCTCACTCCTCTTTTCTTCGCCCATATTAGATCACTCCAAAAGTGCTACAAGTTTGGGCAAGAATTCTTTCTGCAATTCCGAATTCTCGCCTTGTGGTGAAGTGTAAGCCTTTTAGTTGTGATAGTGTGAGGGAGAGATTTCTTTCAACATTGGAGCAGCTGGGGTTGGAACCACTACGTGTTGATCTTCTGCCTCTAATTTTACTCAACTACGATCATATGCAAGCCTATTCTCTCATGGACATTAGGTAAATTTGAGATATTTTGTCTTACATTTGGAAGGACAGTAGTGTGACTAGTGTCAAAGTTTGTTTATATTTCTTGTCTATTTATCTCTCTTAGATGATCAAGGGGAGCAATTATCCAATGTGTGGGCTCATCTCCTCTGGATTCTTGAATTAAAAAGATTGTGTACCAAAACGAAAATGAGCATATGAAATAATATTTACTCAGGCAAACAAGAGACTTGATCTTTGACTAGTAAAGATCAGTTAATCTATTTTTTGTAGTCACTCTAAATAAGCTAAAGGAATGAACACAAAACAGTTAAGTTGACCTGAAAATAATTCGAGAACCATAATGTGAATAAACTTGCGATGCTTTGTAGAAATTAGAAACCATTTCAGAACATCTCATGTGCATGCAATAAAGTCTCACCGGATTCACTTATGTTGGACCTGCTGGCAGCACATTTTAGGAAGGGTTTCACTTGTTACTGAACTTGGATCTTGTTTGGAGGTTCTAACCGAAGTTATCTTCTCTATATGTAGTTTGGATACTTTTCCATATGCTGGAACAACCACAACATGTGAATCCTTATATATGGGAGTCCCGTGTGTTACTATGGCTGGTTCAGTACATGCGCACAACGTTGGTGTTAGTATTCTCAGCAAAGTAGGTAAGTGATTTTTTTCCTCCTTTGTTTTTTCAATGTCTATCTGGTGTACCATGCATGGTTGCTCCTAAGATACCTTTTGCTTTATTTCCCTTATTGTTGGTTGCATCTGTTGGTTTATATCTCATACATGGCTAAGGAGAGAGTATGTGTCACAAGCTCTAGGACACCTGAGATCAAATCTCACTGTTAAAGGCACACAGTTTTTAAACATTCTCCAAACTTGACTAGGTAAATAGATGCATCAGTTTAGAAATCAATTCCGTCAATATCAATCTTTTGATGGATGTGCACGTCATACTGTCATGTTTGCATGTCTCCTTGCCAATGAATTGATCATTGTTTTACTGTTGAAAGAGCCTAACTGATTAAAGTGGACTAAATACAGGGTTGGGAAATCTGATTGCTAAAAATGAGGATGAATATGTCCAGTTGGCAGTGCAGCTGGCCTCTGACGTAACAGCGCTTTCAAATTTGAGAATGGGTCTCCGGGACCTCATGGCCAGGTCGCCTGTCTGTGACGGACCAAAGTTTACCTCTGGGTTGGAGTCAGCATACAGGAGCATGTGGCACAGGTACTGCAAAGGTGATGTGCCATCACAACGGCAAATGGAAATGCTACAAGAGGAAGTAATTGCTGAAGACCCTGCTGCTGGAATCTCTGATCCCACAAGTATTACAACACCAAGAGAAGGGCCTCCTGGATCTATTAAGACTAATGGATTTGGTCCTGTTCCAACCCCTGCTCTTAACCCCTCCGCTTGTGAAGAAAATGGAGGAGTCTGATGGGCGCACATCTGAGGCATTTGTACGGAGGTTCGTTGATAGGAAACCATATTGCTTTTCTGGGTGATTTGATCTCCGTTGGCATACTTAGTCGTGGCGGCTTATAGTGGAATTGAGTCCGGTGGTAAATAACGTGGAAGCGCTGTGTTTACCCGCCTAGGATGACATTTTTGGGAAACAACTGCTGGCAGCATTCGGAGTCTATTATTTTCTGCGCTAGAATTACGGCTTTCTATGCGTGGTCCGTGAAACTATGAGCTGATATATCTTAGGTAGCTGTCTGCAATTTTCCCGACTAGAGAATTGTGGTTTGTAGATTGTAAGTGAATCGTTGTTCCTTCTTTTCTAGGCTTGCTTGTATGATTTTTAAACAGCATAGTTGGTCAGATTACTTGGTCATTTTCTGGTTTGGTTACAGTTGAATCCTGCAATTTTCTCTAAGTTCAATGATTTAATCAACCTGTTTACAGATGGATTTTGAGTGCAGAGTTTAGCGTGTCTCGACGCTATGATTCGCGCAAAGTTTGCTCTTCATGAATAAAATTTACCCGCTCTATCCGATACTATGACAATCTTGGTCTTTCTTCTTTCCCATTCATCCTTCTGTTTATGTTCTTTGATTCTCGCGTTCCTATTCCGTCCAAAGGCTAGAAAAAATGACTGCAAGGGTGAAAAGGAAGCGAGAAAATTACTTCTCCAAATCAATGCCGTTACCATAAGGCCAATGCTATTAATATTTCGAGCGTGGGATTGGAAAAAGTGATTCATTTTCATCAACGGGGGAATCAAAGATACGAAATTGGGACAAGTTCCGAAGCTGAGAAGAGAAATACCATTAGACGAAAAACTAGTTGGTAATGAGTACTTTGAACCATCAGCAAATTGCGTTAGGTGCCAAATAAAGGGTTCAGTGTAGAAAAGCACCACTCCCCCTTTTCACCGTTAGTATCCATGTAAGACTGAAATGCGCCGTCCGACCGTCATAGTTATCCGTTGATACAAAATATCCAATTAACTTGTTCCAGCTCTATGGCTTTATCTTTAACAACAGCTTTTCAATTCACTAACTCTGGTAGATCCAAGGCACGGCTTCATCAAGCTCTCGAACAAAGATGTCTAATCTTTGACAGATGTTCGTAGTATCCTCACATCATGCACCGGTCTGTATTAAGAACAAAAGCATTTCAGATAAGAGTTTAGATCAAATCATGCAAACTACGTCTTCCTCCTAAAGAAGTGTATTAAAAAGGCTCAACAATTACATCGCTGACGATCATATATGCAATTAATTGCAAAACTTACAGATCTAAGTAGGACAAGGCGCTATCATCGCTTACAAAACTTTAACATAAAACCTCTTAATATTTCGTATCAATGCAGACCTACAGGTCATCACATTCGGCAAGATATTTTAACTAATCACATATTTATCACTTCTCCGCAGCATCTCTTCCAAGTGAACAAAAGCAGACTCTTTATAATTGGTACTGTTAAAATATGAAAATATTCAATAACTACCCAGCATCATTTCCAAATTATTTGGAGAATCATGTCAATCGATTAAAACTGTTCGGCATATCTACCTACTATTGTCTATATCCAAAATCAAAACCAGATTTACACCTGCTCCTATGACTGAAAACTTAGTACAACGAATTTGAGTCCACAATTATTTATGCAAAAAAGAAAATAGTCAACGGCTTAACTTGCTCAGACATATAACTTCACAGCTCGACATCTCTTTTTCTCCCTTCAGTTCTTAAAAAAAGTTTAACTCATACCAAACGAGATTCCTCTCAACAGATTTCATGAGACATTGTAGCTTTAGCTTACTATGTCACCTTCTTTCACTCCAAGATAGACTGATACTTTGAATCCTTCAAAGGAGGTACTCCTACTACCTAGGTTGGAAACACATTCACTGGAAATTGGGTACCATTAATTCAGACAGGATCCATTAATTCGGTCAGGATCCATCTATGTCTCCTAATACATTTCATTTTTACTTAGTGTTCTAAAGTCAAGACAACTTTATAACAAGAAAATTCAACCGAAGACTTTTCAATGCTATCACATGATGCGGAAACATTTATAAAAAAAACATACAGAAACTCACATCAGAAGGTAATCTTAGAACGTCATCATGATAATTTGCTTATCCAAGACCAAAATAGTTACCAAGTTACATTCTAAAGTTTCAAACTCTGGAATCTTAAGTTTTTGGTTTGGTGCGGTGAACCACAACAGACTGAGAAACTAAGAGGATCCAGCAGTGTGACCAATCATTTGCAGAAAATCCACAAACAGTAGAAGGCCATTTATCTGTAGCAAATATCAAGAAATACAACTAACAGAAGGCATACCTATCCGTATTATCAGTCTGGACACTGCCAAGTTTTTTGATGACCTCCATTCCTTTGCAGATCCTTCCAAATATTGTGTGCTTTCCTGAATGAAGTAGAAATGCCGTGCAAGTAAAAATACTGATCGAAACAAACAAATGAATCCAAGTAAAGAGTATTTTCTGCTGAAAGGATGGTATACTATCATAAAGAGGTCACTTTATAGCTCAAACAGAATCCTAACGGTGATGGTTTTGATTATTAGAGTCACCTAAAGCCTATAGGTTCCCGTGCACAAAAACAGCCCAATACCTATAGCTATCTCTAGATTGCGTGTGCATGTCAAATCGTAAAATGCTCATAGCAAAATCACAAAGAAATAGTGTTATCAAAAGAACTGTTTTTCAGTCTCCAGACATTTCAATAGGTCACAGAGCGGTGAACTGATGTCTTGTGCAAATAACTTCTAAAGTCAACATATCAAAAGTAAACCAAACCACATCGTATGCAAGATAGGCAGACCATTGTAAGGAAAAAAAGTTTACTGCTAAGGATCACTTTTATGCAGATTAAGTAACTTGAAAACAGTCTTAACATTACTGGGTAAAAATTATCGTACCATCCAATGATGGGCACGGTGCCAGCGTGATAAAGAACTGGCTTCCATTTGTATTCGGACCAGCATTCGCCATCGATAAGATGCCAGCTCCAGTATGCTTCAACTCTTGTTTTATCTCATCCTCAAACTTTCCCCTGAAACCCATTACACAAAACAAGTTCTTCACTATGGTTCTCAAATCTAATTAAAATCAGGGGTTAAAAAAAAATAAAGCAAAATTCAATACATAAATGGGTAAATTCAGGGGAAATTTTTTTACCCATAAATGGATTCTCCACCCCTTCCTGTCCCAGTGGGATCACCACCTTGCACTATGAAATCCTACCCCAATTCCAATTTAACTGTCAGTAAATTATACATACATATATATATATATATATACACATACATCTATATATATATATATATACATACATCTATATATATATATATATATCTAATATATATATATACACTACTAAAGAAGCAGAAAATATGAAACCTTGATGATTCTGTGGAATTTGACATTGTCATAATATCCTCTGCGAGCGAGCTCGATGAAGTTCCTGCAAGTCCTCGGCGCGTGCTTGTAGTAAAGCTACGATTATGACGATTTGAAAATACAAATAAAGTTAAAGATACAAACTTTATGGATTGAATTGTCTGTTTGGTTACTGAGAAAGAGAAAGAAAATTGAAGGGAAAGTTTGGGAAGAAAGAAAATTTACCTCGACGGTGAAGATGCCAGTGGTGGTTTCTAGAGTGACCTCCGGCGGCCCTCCTTCTTTGCTTGCCCACATCTTTCTGACCCGAAGATTTTCTGACTCAGAGCACAAGGTTTCAACTTTTTGAACAAAAGAGGGGTTTAACGCGAAAATGTGCAATGACAATTATAACCTTTTATGAATGACAAAGTGCTAGCAGCAACTTCCTACATTTCTACCTTACATTTTCATTTTAATTATGCTACGTGTATTTCACTAACACGTAAAATTAAAAGTTTAATTATTTTTGGTTGACAAACTAAAATTTTAATTATATTAACAAAGGAAGAAAAATAGTTATAAAAAAATAAAAAATAAACCAAAGGAAGAAAAATAGAGGGATTTTTATATGGTTAAAATTTTAGTTTTGAGTGTTAGTAGAGTACACGTGACATGATGAAAAGTGAGAATGTTGAAATGAGAAGATAAGTGAGTTTGTAAGAATATTGCTAGCATTTCTCTTTGTAAAATAGAAAAAGCAACACAACGGACACATGTCACGCTTTTTTAATTTTGTTATACAACGATATATAATTAGATATAAGTACAAAAACGAAGTCAATTACTTGTTTAATATTAGACATTTTTGCTTACCAGGTTGGATTCATTGACTTCTATTCCAAGTAAGCAAATTTTTTTTTTCGCGACGAAAAATCAGACTCGTTTTAAGGATGAGTTTTTATATGTTTCTCAAATACTTATTATACCCTTGAGTTCTTTAGATGGCTACAATGGTAGAGTAATTGATTTTGCAACAACTTGGGATATTGCTTTGAAATTTGGGTTATATTTTGGTTCTACCGGAACACTAACTTCCACGTTCACCAAAATTAAGCACAGAGTTTTGTATCAATGTTATGTTTGTTGTATGATAATATTTTCCACCCCTCATATGTTGATAAAACTCCATTTTTAGCCATTTAAATATGAAGCCTCTATATTCAATACCATCCTTAATCTTATTTATCGGTTCTAATAATCAAACGAAATACATAACATAACATGTTAATTTTGATTAGAAACCGCATGTGCATGTTCATTTATATTATAAACTTACACTGAATGTCCATCACCATATTATTATTTTACGCCGAACGTCCACTACTCTTCAACGTAGGTTCAGTAAAATTATAGACCAAATGGATGGGTTTACTAAATGGTTTATGCTAGGAAGACTAAATTACAAAATCGAAATCGAGAACAAGGAATCACAACTCCGACATGTCGTTTTCGTTGTACGACCTGTCGTTCGTTTCGAATTTGGCTTGGGATTTTACCGTTTCGGACGAGCAAGCAAAAGAGGAAGAGGAAAGAAGGAGCAGAGCAGCTCAGAGAAGAAAAGAATCACCACTCTACAGAAGAGGGAAAGAAAGTGAGTGACGAGAGAATCGAAGGGGAGGCCTTCGGGTTTTCTGGATTTCGGGCATGGCGGAGATGATCCAAGGTGGGGTCCACCGAGCAACCGGAATCAGAAGAGCCGTCGTGATCGGAAACGGGTTCGCCGGCGCGGAGAATCAGAGCATTGGTTTGGTTCGTGCGCTCGGCCTATGGGGTCGTCAGTCCCTTTACGTAAGTAATCAAAGTTTCAATCTTTTTGTGAAAATTTGAGAAAACTGTTGGTATTGGTATTGGTATTGGGTTTCTGTTCTTGTTTAAATTTAATCATTTGCTAATCTGGTTTTGAGTATATTGATTAAGCATTGTTTTGGTTGGTTTGATTGGTTTATTAATGGTGATTAAGCAGCGTGTTAGGCGGCCAAGAGGAGGGATTAACGAGTGGCTTCACTGGCTTCCACTTCCTCTCCATAAAAAAGTGGTGCCTTTGCATCTTTCTTCTGAAAAATTAGGTACTTGATTATTCTCCTTTATGCTGCACTTGCGATGTGAAAAAATTTCAGTAATTCTTTCTACTGTACTTTCTGTTACGTGGGGTCTGCGTGGATTTCATGCGGACCCCACATACTTGAATCCATTGAAGAGAAGGGCTGAACTGGGTGATGACTGCTTTTGTGCTGAAAATTGTGCTAGCTCAGGCCTCTCATCTGATATTCCGGAAGCTGATGCAAAGCAGATTGCAGAAATGGCCCGTCGAACATTCGACAAGTATGTGTGGCTACTTCTTTTCCGGGTTTTCGTAATTGAATCAAGAAATGTGAACTTTTTGTCAAGTTCTATTAGTTGGATAGGTAGCACATTGCTTGCCTCAGAAGCTCATATAACATGTATGATATTCTTTTGAATTTAGGTAATTTTCAGTTTTGCTCAGTAATTTCATTATTAGTAAAAGATCTATATGCATTCCTTATTTTCTGTCCAGAGATGGCCCGTTGCTGGTGGTTGCATCTGGTCGGGACACCATTCCTGTTTCAAGCGCCATAAAACAGTTAGCTCCCGAAAATGTTTTTCTTGTCCAGGTTAAGGTTCAATCCCCCCTAGAAAGAGATGCATACGATAATATGACTGGTAATTACTTAATGCTGATAAAAAAAAGTGAGGCATTACATCAGTTCAACCATTTGCTTTTATTTTCTTTCACAGACTAGTGAACCAGTGAACCAGTGAACCTTCGTGATGTTCTGGTATCTATATTGTCTAATCACCCTTCCCCTTGTTCCTTCCAAAAGGAAAATCGTCTTTTGTTTTGGATGTTGTTTATGTTTGTAACATGTTATACTTCTTATGAGAATTTGAAGATCAGTCTCTTATTTATTTGGATTTAAATTATTCTGGAGATACATGTGCTTTGGGGAAATGCAATGAACTATTTGCTTTAGATAGAATGGTACATTAGGGTGTGGCATAAATTTTACTAGCCACAGGGATGACATTTTTTTTTTCATTTTTATTCTATTTTTTTGGGGTATGTGATAGTTTCTTCAAATGTTCATCTTTAAGGTTAATGACTATTTTTCTTCTATTTAAATTTCTGTATGGCTCACTTTGTAACATGGTTGTAATGAAATGACGAACGTGATAATACAATTTCAAGTTTGCATCTGATTCTATTAGTTTCTCTTTGATGACATGTTCCAGATTCAACATCCAAGGTCGCATGTGGATAGGTTTGATTTGGTGATAGCTCCTCGTCATGATTATTACCCATTGACTCCCCATGCACAGAAGCAAATTCCTTGGTTTCTTCGGAGGTGGATCACTCCACGTGAACCACCAGGCAAAAATGTTGTGAGTATCTGTCATCTGGGTAGATTAATACTTGTACTATTGTACAAATGTCCTTCTGGTATAATTTAGTTGACAGGTTCTCTATTATGTGTTTCAGTTTCTCACTGTGGGAGCTCTTCATCAGGCTGATTTTGCTGCACTTAAGAGTGCTGCTTCTGTCTGGCATGCCGAATTGACACCACTTCCAAAACCTTTGCTTGTGGTTAATATCGGAGGCCCTTCAAGTAAGTTTTTGCATCGAAAAAACTGTTATGATTTAATATTGTCATCTTTATGAAGAAATGATTTTGATGGATTCCTGTCATTTTCATAATTGTTGATACATGAATAAATCCCAACATTGTAGACATCTAAGGTGCTGGTTTTGCTATGGTATTATCTTTTACATGGCAGAGTTGTTTGTTGAAATTACAAGTTGGTTCCCCTCTTTGTTTGCATTGTTCAAAGTTGTTTCTTCCTTCCTGCTTTGTATTGAGGAGATAATCATATAGTCCTGCATCCATATTCTTTTCAAAGGAAATTGTTCATATGATGCGGATCTTGCGAAACATTTAGCAGCTATGCTGCAGAATGTTCTTTGGAGCTGTGGAAGTGTGAGGATATCTTTCTCTAGGAGAACTCCCGAACAGGTGTCCAGAGTTTTGAGGAAGGAATTCAGTACTAATCCCAAAGTCTACATTTGGGATGGTGAAGGTACTTAGTTATTATATTCTTAGGATATTGTGCACCTATATATGCTTGAAAGTGAAATTTTATGTTATATGTGATACTGCTAGGTCGCAATCCACATATGGGCCATCTGGCCTGTGCCGATGCTTTTGTCATTACCGCTGATTCAGTTAGTATGTTGAGTGAGGCTTGTAGTACGGGGTATGTTCTCGACTCCTAAGTATGATGAATGATGAGGGCCAACTTTTCATATCAGTTGTTGTGTTAAATAGCTCCTCTAGTCAATTCATGCGTCCTAAAAGTTCGTCATGTTTACTTCAGCAAACCTGTTTATGTGATTGGTGCGGAACACTGTACATGGAAGTTTGCAGACTTCCAGAACTCTCTGCGGGAACGAGGAGCGGTTCGACCATTAACCGGTAAAGAAGATGTAAGTCACCAAACATCAATTTCCTTACTTTTTCAGTTAATAAATGAGAAAAGAAGAGATCGAAGCAGCTCTCTAATATGAGGTTTTTGAACTTCCTTCTATTTGGGTAGATGTCCCTGCGTTGGAGCTATACACCACTGGATGACACTGCCGAGGCTGCTTGGCGGGTGAACAAGGCACTCGCTGAGCGTGGATGGAGTATACAACTTACCTAAATGAGCTTTGCCAGATCTCAAACCCATTAAAGTGGAGTAGTTTAGTTTTCAGTTACAACGCATAGCAGCGTGTGATTGACTCGGGCTTATTTAAGTTTCTCTTTAGTAATCGAACCAGTTTTGCCCAATTCATTGTACACATTCTTATTATATTTGGCTGTATCGTTCCTCCATGGAGACACCCAAATTGTTAAGGGAAGGCACTTCCTTTTGTATTGCTTCATCTCCTTAATGTAAAATGAAAAAAATTGAAAGAAACATTGTGTGCACATGCATTAAATTTTCTATGGTTATTTTGACACTATTTATGTCGACATGACAACTTCTTGGTGACTTACTTTACATGTCCAACCACGTATCTCTTCCGCCGAAGTTTCTCTCGATTAGTCTAGCCATTAAAGTGATGCAAATAATGTGGTTTTACACACAACATTTACAAAAACCGTACATTAAATTGTTGGGTTATGGAGGGCTAGCTGTGGTTTAGTTGAGTGATTAAAGAGAATAAACCTGCTTAGTTATGGCAAGTTGCTTGCCCTTTTGACTTTAATTTATATTAATCTTAAATTAAATCCAATTTCGTGCATTAAGTTTCCCATCCACTCCTCCTTACCAAAATATTATTTAGAATTTACAAGTACGTCGCATATAATATTGAAGTGGTTGCTACTTGATCCATTTTCCAGATAAAACCTCTTCACTTGCTCTTCTATCAACAAAAAAAATAAATAAATGATAATTTGCAGGAACTCTCAGACTAATTTTAATTAATAAACTAATTAAACTTTTCTTATTTGGTGCACTATATAAAGCTTCTCATGTTTAACCATTTTCATCGCAAGCTTTTGAGTCTCTTCTCCTCAGCAATTCCCATTTCCAAAGCTTTAGTTTTCTGGTTTATCTCCTCTCTCGTTATCTCTCTCTTTCGGACGAAAATGAAGAGCGGAGGCGGCGGCGAGTCAACCACCATTGATATTGAGGCAAGAAGTGCTTCCAAAGGAAAAGGGCCTGTTATGGCAGTTCATCATGTGAAGAAAGAAAAGGGAGGAATGGAGAGAGGGATGGCCATAATTGACTTGGTTTTGAGGATTGGGGCAATAGTGGCTGCTCTTGCTGCTGCTGCCACCATGGGAACCAGTGATCAAAACCTTCCTTTCTTCACCCAGTTCTTCCAGTTTGAAGCTAGCTATGATGACATGCCTAGCTTTCAGTATGTACTCGTTCTTCTTCCTCCTTTTTCCTTTTAGTGATATTTTTCACCAAAGAAAATGTTTTACGATATTCTGGTATGTTATGTTGTGAGGTTGTCAATCTAGATTATCGAATAGATGAACTACTTTGTGTTGTGCTCAATTGATAATCTGGCATATTACGTTGTCAGACTGTCAATTTAAAACGGTAGCAACATGAAAATTTAACAACGTAACATTAATTCTGAATGTTTGAAAAAGACAATATTACCCTTGTGTGTATTGTACGGTACATTGATCTAATATCCATGCATGCAAGCAGGTTTTTCCTGATAGCAATGTCACTTGTAGCTGGCTACTTGGTGCTCTCACTTCCCTTCTCCGTCGTCTGCATCGTTCGCCCCCATGCAAGTGGACCAAGGCTCTTGCTCCTCATCCTTGACCTTGTAATTACATTCCTAAACTCTCTATTATTCACATGATTAGCTCATAATACAAAATCATATATGATTAATCTGTTTATAATTAATAACTTAATTAAACTTGTGATATCATCATGGCAGGTGGCACTGACTCTAGCCACTTCTGCTGCTGGGGCTGCAACATCCATAGTCTACTTAGCCCACAACGGCAACTCAAGCTCCAACTGGCTGGCCATCTGCAACCAGTTTGGTGATTTCTGCAGGAACGTGAGTGGGGCTGTGGTGGCTTCTTTCGTTACTGTTGTCACCTTCATGTTCTTGATTCTGCTGTCTGCGTTGGCTCTACGAAAGCATCACTGACAAGAAGATGATGGAAGAGATTAATTAAGCTCTTCAACAATTAATAGTAAACGTTTGTTTGTGATTCTATTTGGGTGTTTTTTTTTTCTGCAAAACTACTTGTTAATATTGTGTGAATTTGGTTGTAGTTTACTTTGTCCAATGGAGGATATCGTAATGGAAGTTATTGTTATTCTCTATGTGCATTATTAAGCCATCTCCTTACTCTATTTTTGGAATGACTAGATTCTGAAATAGTTGCCTTTTTTACATACTATTTTCTCTTAATTTTTCTTGTCATCCGTAACAGATGTGTGCACAGTGATATTTTTGAATTGTCAATAACAATTTTCTGAGGTTCTTCAGTATCTAAAACAACATGAAAATAAAACTCAAACATAACTTGATTTAATAGATTAGGTAAGTTGATGACTATATATACTTGACTCATACGTACCCATAAGTAACATGAACTACTACTTAACGATAGACTCGTTTAACCAATATTCTTGGGAAAAAATGTTTACAACTTCTTTTGTTAAGATCACTAGTTTTGGCTTGAAATAATGAGAACATGGTCATAAGTGGAGGTGACAAATCAATGGATTGGGTTGTTAATGGGTATTGTTAAAACTTGTTTAATTTGATATTATCACAATACATAGGTGAAATTGATAGTAATGACATTGGTGTAAGGTGAGATCATACTAAATAAGTCTTAATGGGTACCCATTAATAACCAATGGGTCAATTTGACACCTCTAGTCATAAGTTCCTAACTAAAGCATATATATCATGTGAAGCATTAGATTTATAACTCAAGTGATTAAGAGCGTTTATCTCTGCATCTGAGATTTTGTATTAGAATTTTCTCTCTCTCCATATTGTGTGAAAAAACCATAGCATGCGAAAATTGATTGACATGATAACGAACAAGAAATGACACGACACAAATACGAGAAACTACATTAGATTAAATTTTGGGACTAAAAATGGGCCTAAAAGCCCATACTGCAACCCGAGAAGGTGAGGCCATAATTGTAAATTCACAGGATTAAGCAAGCACAGCAAAATCTGTGCAACTCCGTTGCAGTGTTCTTCCATCACACGCTCACCTCTCTCTCTCTCTCTGCGCTCCCCTAGCTTCTGTAGATTTCCCGGGAAAATAAAACGGAAAATTCAAAGGAAAATCGCCGGCGCTAGGGTTTAAGTTTCTCGGGAGCCCATCAGAAATGTCTCAGACGGGGAAATTGATGCCAAATCTCGATCAGCAGAGCACCAAAGTGCTCAATCTCACGGTGCTGCAGAGAATGGATCCCTTCATCGAAGAGATTCTGATTACGGCCGCCCACGTCACCTTCTACGAATTCAACATCGAGAGCAATCAATGGGTTCGTTTTCCGAATCGTAATTTCCACTTCTCCGTTTGGTTGCCCAGAAAATTATAAGAAATTCAAGGGTTTTAGAATTAATCCAAATTAAGTGGACTTTTTTAATTAATTACGTTTTGGGTTTTTGCAGAGTCGCAAGGATGTTGAAGGGTCTCTCTTTGTTGTTAAAAGGTAAATTTTTTTACTTTTTGCTTTTTTTTTTGGCTATTGTTTTGTGTCTGTTGGTTTTTGTTTTCGAAATTTCGAGTGAATGCTGATATGGTTTCGCTTAGTTATACTGATAGTTGGATTGCCTGTTGTATTGTTAAGGAATACTCAACCGCGTTTCCAGTTCATCGTTATGAATCGGCGCAATACTGGTACAAATTCTTTATTGTCAATGTTGTTTTATGTTGAAGATATGCTCTTTTAATGTTGATAAGGACAGTTGGTTTCCATTTGATATTCACGGTATAGATTGTAGCGCATTTTACCACTAAAATAAATTCTTATTTTTTACTTAATGGTTTGCTACTGTTTGTATCAATCTACATTATCATCTATGTGCAGTGTTTAAACTTTAAATGCATGTCTGGACAGTCTGTAAGAAAATATAAACATATATCGTTTTGGTGTGCTTCCACAAAAATAAATGAAATATCTAAACTTACCGTTCAAACACGTCGCTAATCTATAAATAATTCTCAAGATTGGTTTGTTTCAATTGTTAAGAAGCTTGGAAGATTTGATCTCTGTAAAGTGACACGATATTCATGTTCATGCAAGGTTGAGAAATAGATCAATGTAAAGTATAAAGTTTCATAAAGTTGATCAAAAAGTGGAACTTGTTTTCTCAATGACACATAAAATGAGTACAACCATCATGATTTGAGAGCCAAAGTTCAGAGGGAATTGCTTACCTGTTACAAGAAATCTGGTTTTAGCGTTGTTTCAAATCTATCAACACAATGTAAAATTTGATTTTGTAAAAGTGTGTATTATATTATACTTTTGAATAAGGTCATTCTCTTTTGGATAGAATTCTTATTACCTTTCTGTTGAAGTAGGTTTTATTTGTGACAACTTTTTGGAAGTCGTACACACTGTCTTCCTAGAATATCTGATTTGATCATCTATAAAACAGAACTACTCTAATTATGTTGGTAAATTATGTTGTACATACATCTGTGCATATATCCCTTTAGGTATTTTTTATTTTATTAATTTTATGTTTTTATATTATACAGATAACCTAGTGGAGAATATCTTGGGAGATTTTGAGTATGAAGTTCAAGTTCCATATTTATTGTATAGAAATGCATCCCAAGAAGTTAACGGCATTTGGTTTTATAATGCACGCGAATGTGAGGAAGTTGCAAATCTCTTTACTAGGTACAATGTTCTGATAATTCTTATTGCTTCCCATTTGCGCACAAATTGTTTGTTAGTTTCTAAGAAAGAGTTCTAGACATTTAATTGCATATCGCAGATTTGCAGGATGGTAATATAACATTACAGATTTTTTTAGGGGTATAGATTTTCTCTTACAAGAGTTTGACATTAGTAAAGTTTATGAGTTATACAAATGCATACATATATGTGTAACACAACACAAAAGGGCAATATATGATGTTAAATGTTGAGGTTATCAACAGCAGTGTGACCCGGATGGATGCATTAGATACATATGGATATGCATACAAACAGAGAGCATAGCATGGGATCTACAGAAGTAAAATGGTGACTTGGAAATACTGGATACCTTAGTTTCGTGTCTGTATTAAGTTATGTGGATGTAGATATGCCACATTTATGCATTTGGATTCTAATGCCTTTCCTTCTTACAGGATCCTGAATGCATACTCAAAGGTTCCACCCAAGTCCAAAGTAGCTTCAAGCAAAAGGTTTTACCCACTTTCTCCATTGTTGCTCCAATTGTGTTATATATTTTAATTTTACTTCCTGTATTCAGATTCAGAATTGACATTTGTTCTTCAATCTTAGTCATATAATTAACTTCAACCTGAATTGTTGTAATGTTAGATAACTTATATAATATAGTTCTGAAAAAAAGAAATAAGTGGTGGAAAGGGCCTCTTAAGTTTGGTACTATCCTTGGTATGCGTTCCTGATGTTTCTAATATTTCTATATTTCCATCTTCTCTTTTGTCAGTATAATTTTTTCTGCATATCATGAGTTGCGTCATTAACTTGGGTTTATTTATTGAGTAAATTGTGTCTTCAATGTTGCATCTAATTTTCTTTCTGCCTATTAAATTGTAGTGAGTTTGAGGAGCTTGAAGCAGTCCCATCCATGTTGGTCATGGAAGGGCCGTTGGAGCCATCATTGAATGCCCCTACTGCCACTGAGGCGCCTGAAGATTCTTCCTTTATAAGCTACCTGGTATGATTTCATGCATGGTGGCTTTTCGATCTGCTTACTTTTATGTCGTCTAGAACTTGTCCCCCATGGATGTGGGATTTGCGAGTACCAAGTGATCTAGGATAAATTACTTAGGTATGAACTACATAACATTAGATAAAGGGATTTGAAATGCACTACATGATCATTACAAAGACAAACAATGGATCTAGAAATGACTCCTTTCAAGTAGTCATTTGCAAATCCCCCACAGTGCATTGCATCCAGTCATTTGAAATCCCTCCCTCGAATCTTTGTTGGTGCATTGCTAACTAATTTAGCCTAATCCCTGGTGGTTCGTTATGTATCATCTGTAAGTATGTTATTTAATTCCATGGTTGAGATGCTTTTGAATTCATTCCTAGAGTACCTAAAATTCTTTTAAGCCATAGGCATACCTGACGAACTCACTGTTTGGGCTGTTTGAGTGAAGTTGCAGCCGAGTCCTAAGCGTTTTACCTCTCACTAAAGCATTTGGAGGTGCTAAAGTTGAGTGGACTTTATTTCAATCCTTTTCCTCAGAGATGTTAGTTGAGGAAATTTTGGGATAACAAACGCAGTTGTTTCTGTCTTTCTGATTCCTCTGAATAAGGAAAATATGATTCAGAAGCAATACCAATTATAGGAAGAGTGTGGGTGTGAGAGTAAATACTTGAAGGACATTGAAATTGCAAGGGATGTTTCTTAGTGAATGCCCATGTGAAATGAATAAAAGCTTATTTCTGATGAAATTGATAGAACTATCTTTACTGAAGTAGAGTTTATGGTTCATCCAGAAGATGAAAAAAAGAGCTTATATTGATGCTCTAATTATTACAAATGATATTGTTTCGGCTAAATTGGTCTAAAGAAACTATTTTATTTTTTTGGGATATGAGCATTCTGAAAAAGCTAGGACAGAAGGTTAGAGTTCAAGAGAGTAGAATGCATTTAGGAACGTGGAATATAGGAACCTTAACGGGAAAATCTATGGAAGTTGGAAGTTATGGTGAGGATAAGGATAAATATTATGTGCCTACAAGAAACTAAATGGGTTGGTCTGAAGGCAAAGGATCTAGAAAACTCAGGTTTTAAACTTTGGTATTCGGGCACAAATAGAACGAGAAACGGTTTTGGCATCATCGTGGACAAGACCTTGACACAAGATGTTGTCGATGTCAAGAGGGTAGAAGATAGAATATTGGCAATCAAGATTGTAATAGGACAAGAACTCATCAATGTGATTAGTGCGTACGCACCTCAAGTAGGGTTGGATACGAGTTTGAAGGAGAAATTTTGGGAAGACCTTGGAGACTTGGTGCAAGGAATTGCTCAGACGGAGAAGGTATTTATAGGAGGAGATTTAAATGGACACGTGGGCAAGGAGACAGGCAACTATGGAGGTTTTCATGGTGGCCATGGTTTTGGGGAGAGAAACGAGGATGGGGAAGCTATCTTGGATTTTACAATGGCATATGATCTCTTCTTAGCCAACACCTTCTTTAAGAAGAGAGAAGAACATGTGATCACCTACAAGAGTGGGTCGTCAAAAACACAAATAGATTTTCTTCTAATGAGGAAAGGGGATCGTATAACTTGTAAGGATTGTAAAGTTATACCGGGAGAGAGCTTGGCTAATCAACATTGCTTGTTGGTGATGGATGTACATATCAAAAGAGAGAGAAAAAAGAACAAGACTTGGAAGTGCCCAAGGACTAGATGGTGGAATCTAAAAGGAGAAAAACAAGCCATTTTCAAAGAGAGAGTAATCACCCAATGCGTGTGGGATAGGGAGGGGGAAGCTAGCCAAAGGTGGGATTCCATGGCTAGTTGTATCCGAAAAGTAGCAAAAGAGGTATTAGGAGAGTCCAAGAGTTTTGCTTCACACCAAAAGGAATCTTGGTGGTGGAATGAGGAGGTACAAACAAAGGTGAAGGCTAAGAAGGAATGTTGTAAAGCCTTACACAAGGATAGAACCGATGAAAATGGTGAAAGGTATAGAAGAGCGAAGCAAGAGGCGAAGAAAGTTGTGAGAGAAGCTAAGCTAGCGGCTTATGACGATATGTATAAGCGACTAGATACCAAAGAAGGAAAGTTGGATATCTATAAACTGGCTAAAGCAAGGGAAAAGAAGACAAGGGATCTAAACCAAGTGAGGTGCATCAAGGATGAGGATGGAAAGGTTCTTGCTACAGAGAACGCGATCAAAGACAGATGGAGATGTTATTTTCATAATCTTTTCAATGAAGGACATGAAAGGAGTACTTCTGTAGGGTAGTTAAGTAACTCAGAAGAGTGTAGAAACTACTCATTTTACCGTCGAATCAGGAAGGAAGAAGTGGTTGTAGCTTTGAAAAAGATGAAGCGTAGAAAAGCAGTGGGCCCAGATGATATACCGATCGAAGTGTGGAAGGTCTTGGGAGAGACGGGTATAGCATGGCTCACTGACCTTTTCAATAGGATTTTGAAAATGAAGAAGATGTCAAATGAGTGGCGAAAGAGCACTTTGGTGCCTATCTACAAGAATAAGGGCGACGTACAAAATTGCATGAACTATAAGGGTATTAAGCTAATGAGTCATACAATGAAGCTCTGGGAGAGAGTCATTGAGCATAGATTAAGGCAAGAGACACGGGTTTCGGACAACCAATTCGGGTTCATGCTAGGGCACTCAACCATGGAGGCAATCTATCTCTTACAAAGATTGATGGAAAGATATAGAGATGGGAAAAAGGATTTACACATGATCTTTATAGATTTGGAAAAAGCGTATGATAGGGTCCCTAGAAACATTCTTTGGAGGATTTTAAAGAAGAAAGGAGTACGAGTAGCATATATCTAAGCTATAAAGGATATGTATGATGAAGTAAAGACTGCCGTAAGAACTCATGAAGGACAAACCGAAAGCTTCCCCATAACTGTAGGGTTACATCAAGGCTCATCCTTAAGTCTTTACCTTTTTGCATTGGTAATAGATGAGTTAACAGGACATATTCAAGATGATATTCCTTGGTGTATGCTTTTCGCAGACGATATAATGTTGATAGATAAAACTCAAGAAGGGGTAAATGCGAAACTTAACCTTTGGAGAGAGGTGTTGGAATCTAAAGGTCTTCGCCTAAACCGACCAAAGACAGAATATATGGAGTGCAAGTTCAGTGCAAATAGAGGCCAAAATGAGTTAGGAGTGAGGATCGAAGATCAGGAAATATCAAAGAGCGACTGCTTTCGCTACCTAGGATCTATCTTGCAAAAGAATGGAGAATTAGATGGAGACCTCAACCATAGAATACAAGCTGGATGGATGAAGTGAAGAGTGCATCCGACGTGTTGTGTGACCGCCGTATGCCACTGAAGTTCAAGGGAAAATTTTATAGGACGACAATAAGGTCGGCGATGCTGTATGGCACAGAATGTTGGGCGGTGAAGCATCAACACGTACATAAAATGGGTGTAACGGAGATGAGGATGCTTCGTTGGATGTGTGGGCACACGAGAAAAGATAAGATTAGGAATGAGGATATCCAAGGTAAAGTAGGAGTAGCCGAAATTTAAGGAAAGATGAGAGAAAATCGGTTACTGTGGTTTGGACATGTGCAAAGAAGGCCTACTGACGCTCCGGTTCGAAGATGTGGCTACGGGACAGAGGTTCAGGGCCGAAGGGGTAGAGGAAGACCTAGGAAAACTTTGGAAGAGATCCTAAGAAAAAACTTAGAATACTTGGATCTAACGGTGGACATGACACAGAACCGAGCGCAATGGCGTTCTAGGATTCATAGCATGTCATTCTGAAAAACCTGAATGATGTATTTGCTTAGACTTAAAGGGGAATGATGTATCTTGATATAGCATGTCATTCTCTTCCGATGTGTTGTCTTTGCTCTGTATCTCCTTACTCATTATAGCTTGTTTTCACTAATGGCTAATCATATCGTCCCCTCATATTTACTGCAGGCAGCTATGAATTATTGGAAATAATGCTTCAAATGCAACAAATTCAAGACTGCCCTATCAGTCTACTGGAACTGTTCCCAAGCCTTCTTATGCACCCAGTGCCGTTTCACCCCCTTCACCAACTCCACAAATACCAACCCATTCCCATTCAGTCCCATCTACACCAACCCCCCCACATGGCTCCTCTGATCAAACCACCAGCAACAATCGGGTTGCTAATCTTATAAAGCCCTCTTCTTTCTTCCCTCTCCCTGTTTCCTCACCTCCTTTGGTCATACCACCTACCTCTTCATCTGTGCCACCTGCTGCTGCACTTCATCCACCCCTGAATCTGCAACGCCCTTATGGCACCCCAATGCTTCAACCCTTTCCACCACCAACGCCCCCACCATCTTTAACTCCCAATTCTGCTCCTCCTGCGCCCAGTGATGGGCCTCTTATTAGCAGAGAAAAAGTTCGAGAAGCACTTGTAATGCTTGTTCAGGTATTTTCATGTTTTGTCTCTTTTTCGTACTCAGAATTACCTCCTGTATTCATTAAATAATTGCCCAACATACAGTGAGCACAGTTAACCTTTTCTTTTTGTCCAAAACACGGTTACTTCATAGAAAGCCTTTTATGAAATTATATTTTATATGAATTTGTGTATATACGTTGGGGGCATTAGTCTGCTGATTTATATATCGATATGTAGAAAGAAAAGAAGTCGGTGTATCAACTATAGATTCATCTTACCATGTTCTCTTGGTTGTTGACAATTGAACATTTGGCCTCCAATGTTTTAAGCATCCTTGACCTAAAGTTTTTCTCATGACTGACTCTGTATTGTTATTCTTTTAGGACGATCAATTCATCGACATGTTATACCAAGCATTGCTGAAAGTGCACCATACATGATAACTTTGGGAACCGATGGTGTCATCATCTGCATATTCGATCGAGTACAAAATCATGTAGAATAAGTTGTGTATATAGTTATTCTACTTCCGGTCCTCGGGAATAATGGCAGCGCAACAGCATAAGGCGTAACAACCGTGAAAACTTCTCCCCGCTCCGAGCTGGTCAATGTTCCCGAGGAATTTACTGACTTGGGAGGGTTGCTAGGGTGGCACTCACTCGGCCTGTTTGTTAATCCATATGTGTCGCCCCCCTGGACTCTTTGATGTTTGTAACACTTAGTTGAGTTCTTTTTAATTAATTATATTTCCAATGTTTAATTTGGATGAGTAATTTTGGTTTGTTAGGTGGTTTGGTTGCATTAGTAGTATTCAAACTTGTGTTAACGACCTCTAATTGTGGATCTACTTTATTAATCTATTATTGAAGGTTAGCAGGTAGAGCATACTTGGAACAACTTTATGTGTTTTTCGTCTTCTTTCATGCATCGGAAGCCGGGAGAAAAACTTGTATATACACGAAGTTTTTTGTAGTGTTGTAGTTTGGCACGGTTTCACGATGGGTTGACATGTGGGTCTCAACCGCTTTTTTCAAAGTAGTGGTGTATTGCTCTAGTGGTTAGCGTCTTTCTCTTTAACTTGTTGAGTTTTGTGTTCAAATCCTCGTACTTTTTATTTACAAGCAATATTCTATGCTACTTTATTTACAAGGGATATTTACACTAATTTACACTAAGGGGGGGGAGGGGAAAGGGTTTGAATCCTGAGACACACTGAGTTGAAGAGTAAGACATGATGTACGGCTAGTTTGGAGTTGTGTTGTGAGAAAAAAATGTTGTTTCCATAAGCAAGGGAAGATGCTTTTGGTCTTTGCTGTTTTGGACCCATGATTTTGAGGAAAAGCACTTTTTTCATTTACCCAACAAAAATTTTAGCCTCAACTTTTTAAAAAATCTGCTTTTAAAATAGTTTTAGAAATGTTAAACCAGCCCGTAGTCATATGAGGTGAATGAGAATAATTCTCATTTCTTACAAATTCATTCTTATACTAAACATGCCCTCTAAATGGACTGCATTTTTTGCTCATTATTTGAAGTGGTGGTGATGCTCACTACCTCAGTAATTATCGTTAGATGAATTAGATTTGATCTATTTATTATACACAATCTCACAATTTAAACTTATTTAACGACAATCAAGGAGGGGAAAGAATCACACTACTTGAGGGGTGCTGCACAAAAATATCTCTGTTAGGACGTGAAAAGCAGATAATTAATAATTAGATAGGCCCCCAACCCTGTTAAACCCTGTAAAAAGCGGCCCATTAAGTAGTCACAAGATTCAGAAACCCCTACCGCCCCCCGCCCTCCTCTTCTTCGTCTCTCCAGTGGAACAAGTATCGGAGTCTGATCGTAAGCAATGGCGATGCTTAGAACATTGGTGCACTCAAACCCTAAATTATCGTATTCCTCCTCCCTTCTTCTTCCTCCCGCTCTTCTGATTTCCTGCAGGGGAATCGCTACTAAGCTCTTCGTTGGCGGTATATTACACACACTCTCTCTCTCTCTCTCTCTCTCTATCTGTTTTATCTCCATTTCTGTAAAGTATTCTGCTTTAAGACGAAATGAAGTTGTGTTCTCTGAATAGGAAGTTCAAATCACTTTACAAGCTGTGTCGAACTCGAACATAATCGGATATCATGTTTTTTTCATCCAATTTACCAAAATTAAGGAGAAAGATATAATCTTTGGTGGAATTAATTTGTTTGATAAGAAGTGGATTGGACTAAGTTTACAAAGTGTTTGTTAGACTTGTGCTTATCCAGTATGCCCCCCTCAAAAGAGATTATACATATTGGAACAGGACTCATTGAAATTTACAAATCCCATGTTCCAACCCGATTCGATGGTTATGATTTACCATTTGCTAACGGAAGACTTGGGACAAAACCGGTCATAATGGCGTTCTAGGATTCATCTGGCCGACCCCCCTTAGTGGGATAAGGCTTTGTTGTTGTTTGTTGCTGTTGTATTTTTCAGAAATTTCTCATCAGAATGATGTATTTAAGTAGCAATCATGAACTCTGTTTAGTGTATCCTTGCTCACTTTACCCTTGCTAAAATCCGGTTCTTGGTGGGATGAGAAGTTATGGGAACAATTCCATCGCTCCTCTGACTCTGTATATCTGCCATCTGCATAAGAAAATTTATGGTATTCTTGTATGATTTCACATGTGGAATAGCTTCTTTGAGAAGAGATTATGTAATATGTCTTGGGGTTTAATTATTTAAGTGGTAAAAGCAAGGTGTGGGTTTCTATAGTTCTGCTCTAGCTAGCAAAATGAACAATCTGTCACCCAAATTTTTACATTATGGCATATGAGTTCGTAGTTTTTGCATTGCCTGAAGTTGTTTAACTGCCATCGGTTTGATTTGTTTTCTCTTGTTTATTTCTCATGCAAATTTCTTTGTTTGTTGATGTTTGTCCTCTTGATTTGAAGAATTCTTTGTCTCCCCGCGTTGTAGGACTATCGTTTTACACCAATGAGAAGGGGTTATCTGAAGCGTTCTCTCAGTATGGACAAGTGATAGAAGGTGATTTGCATTCAAATGCAAGAATACCGAGGCAACTATCTCTAAACTGATTATATTCTGTCATCTTGTACTTAAACCTTATTTATTTTTGGCAGCCCAAATTGTATCGGACAGAGTATCAGAAAGATCGAAAGGATTTGGATTCGTGACCTTTGCTTCAGAAGATGAAGCCCACAAAGCCTTGGAGGAGATGAATGGCAAGGTAATTCCTTGTTTTCTGTTTTCCTTAATCCATTTGAATCTTGCCATATTAAATAACTCCAAAATGACATATTCAAAACACTCACAGCCACTGAATGGACGCGTTATTTTTGTGGACTATGCAAAGCCGAGAACCAATTATGGCAGTGGAATGCCGATTGCAAGAGGACCCCCTGATTCGATAAAAGACGGTTGATCTACTTATGCAAGGTCTTCTATTCGCTGGGGGGCACTTTCAGGAAGGATTAAATGCGGGGAAAATCAAATTCATGTGAGTTTGCTGTATTATCTTATCCTCAAAAACAACTCAGAAGCACAGCCAAGGCACGACAAAGCAAGTAAGATCGTATGGAATATTTCATCTGATTTCTTACAACCTCCAAATTCAGTGGATGGAAATTTGATAAACATACCAAATTCTTTCAAACGCTATATAGTTTGGTAAGGATATAGAATTCCTGGAAGGTTGGACTAGCAAGATGTATTGCTTTTGTTTATATAAGCATGTTTTTCAAGTATTTGTTTACCCTTCCCATTTCATGTATCGCTTTTGTTTTCCTTCCTTTCTCAATGCTCGTAACTCGTTTTGTCGAATCCAACCTTATGCTTGGCCTTTGCTTAGGATTTTATTTGAGGTAGACTGAGCAAGAGAAAGAAACTTATGTCTCATTGATGTATGTCACCTTTTATCTCTCTCTCGTCACATGATGGGCGAGGTAAGAGGGGGCGTGATAGAGATAGGAAGAGGGGTGGCATACAATCATTGGAAGTGCCTGTGACAATCAGCTCATGCGCGTCTGGGTAACTTTTGGCCATTAATGCAATGGGGCGTAGGTAGGGCCCACAGTTGCATCAATGATTGGGAGTCACCCACATGCGTATGAGCGATTGTCCCTAAAAGAAAACCCGCGCCTGTTTCCCGGAAGATATTTTCGGAAGGAGAAGGGCCCTCGGTAGACCATCAATGCTTTCTTTCTCTCACACACACACACGTGTTGCATTCGTTAAGATTTAAAAAGATAATGTTCTGATTCATGCGTTCCTTATGCCTTTTGGGATGTGAATTTGTAGAAGCATCAAGTCCATATGAAGTTTGTGACATAAACAATCAAATTGCAGCAGGAAGCCTAAAACTTTGGTACTACATTTTGGGAGAAACGTAAACAATAAGCCAAATTATAGACCCACAAAAACATATGAATCTGTACTCTTTCATATTTTGCGGTTTCTTGTAAGTTGCAAAAATCCATTTGAATCTTGCCATACCAGAGCAAGAGTATCTCATATCATCAGGGTCAAAAGCAAGAGTATCCCATATCATGCTTTTTCCCTGTCTTTGCCTTTACCCTTGTTCTTACCTACAAGACAAGGAGAAAGAGAGCAATCAGTCAGCACTTGGAATCAAGCTTCCAGTCAGGAACTGACTGCCTGGAACCCCTTACCTGATTACTTACCTGGCATTGCTCTCGAGTACTCATCTTAAACATCTTATGCTTCCAAAAAATATACCACATCTGCCTGAGGAACAGATATGGCAAGTGAGAAGGATACAAGGAAGCATGTTGAGACAAGCGCAACAGAACACATGCTGATTCATCTATTACTTCGTCAACAACAAAAGTATCCCATATCATCAAGGTCGAACGCACTCTTGATTTGATGGACTTGTTTTGACCCTCAAATTCTTGAGTCGGCCTTATACTCTGGAGGAAACCAGAAAACCCTCCACCCCAGTTCAAGAATAAGCCTGTGGAAAGTTACTTCTTCAAAAGCAAAAGTATCTCATATCATCTCTTCTCCATTTGCTTCTCCTTATCCTTGTTGCTATTTACGACACAAGGAGAAGGAGAACAATCAACCGAAAGCCGAAGTCAAACCTCCGATCTAGGTTGCTTGCTTGGAAGTCTGATTGCTTACCTTGTCTGTTACCTCTTTCGGTCAATCTCCTAGCTCGACGACTTGGGGGACTCCTACTATAGGGTTTTGTATCGCACTTGACCAAGCCCGAAACTACAAGTAAGCCTCAAGTGAAATTGATACATTACCTTGTGCATCTTCATCGGTTAAAGATACCACCCCTGGATGGAGGAAAAGTACTTCCAGAGAAGATGTCACATCTACGTATGAGATAGATAAGGCAAGTGAAAATGATACCACACTTCAGTACTTAGAAGTTTTGTGATTACTCAATAGCTTGGATCTTGCAAGTCCCCAACCGAGGAGCTTCCCTCACTCGGGAACTTAGGGGAGCACTGTTTGTACCATACTTGACCAATCTTGAAACTACTGAGCACTAGTCAATGTTATACCGTCAAGGAACCTCCGATATAGGTTGCTTGCTGTTTAAGATCGTATGGAATATTTCATCAGATTTCTTACAACCTCCAAATTCAGTGGATGGAAATTTGATAAACATACCAAATTCTTTCAAACGCTATATAGTTTGGTAAGGATATAGAATTCCTGGAAGGTTGGACTAGCAAGATGTATTGCTTTTGTTTATATAAGCATGCTTTTCAAGTATTTGTTTACCCTTCCCATTTCATGTATCGCTTTTGTTTTCCTTCCTTTCTCAATGCTCGTAACTCGTTTTGTCGAATCCAACCTTATGCTTGGCCTTTGCTTAGGATTTTATTTGAGGTAGACTGAGCAAGAGAAAGAAACTTATGTCTCATTGATGTATGTCACCTTTTATCTCTCTCTCGTCACATGATGGGCGAGGTAGGAGGGGGCGTGATAGAGATAGGAAGAGGGGTGGCATACAATCATTGGAAGTGCCTGTGACAATCAGCTCATGCGCGTCTGGGTAACTTTTGGCCATTAATGCAATGGGGCGTAGGTAGGGCCCACAGTTGCATCAATGATTGGGAGTCACCCACATGTGTATGAGCGACTGTCCCTAAAAGAAAACCTGCGCCTGTTTCCCGGAAGATATTTTCGGAAGGAGAAGGGCCCTCGGTAGACCATCAATGCTTTCTTTCTCACACACACACACACGTGTTGCATTCGTTGAGATTTAAAAAGATAATGTTCTGATTCATGCGTTCCTTATGCCTTTTGGGATGTGAATTTGTAGAAGCATCAAGTCCATATGAAGTTTGTGACATAAACAATCAAATTGCAGCAGGAAGCCTAAAACTTTGGTACTACATTTTGGGAGAAACGTAAACAATAAGCCAAATTATAGACCCACAAAAACATATGAATCTGTCCTCTTTCATATTTTGCGGTTTCTTGTAAGTTGCAAAAATCCAGAACCAACTGCTGTTGGCATGTTGCTGCTAAATGGCAAACGTTGTCGAAAGAGATGTGGACATCCCATCAGAATCTAGTCACCTAATAGATCAGATCAGGGGCACATCTCACTAATTTTAGAGGTTTGGCAAACAAGTAGTGTTTTTCTTATTTGTGTTGTACCCGTTATCTTAATGGGTTGTGTCGTGTCAAACTCCTTAACTTAATAGGTGACTTGATAACGACCCGACTTGTTAACAGCTTGTGTCGTTTCGTGTCGGGTTAACAAGCCATGCAAAAAATTGTCAAGTCTAACGTCTAGATATGGCAAAAGATATCTTATTAGGTTATTAATAGGTAATCCAAAAATGACCCGACTCGTTAACAGATTTTTACTGGTAACCCAATAACGGTCCAATTTATAAATAGATTAATTTGAAACCTGTTATTTTTGTGTGAGTTAACAGGTTACCCTGTGAAAAGAGCAATTGCAAAGTGGCTCCATACCCTCTCAAGAAAACAAAACACAGGAGACTTGAGAGAGACTTACCACCTTCCTTTTCCTCCCGCTCCATTGTTGTAAATGGCTTTCCTCGTGAGTTAACAACCCACTTTCCACCGGCTTTCTTGGCCATTGTCGACTCAAAAAAAAGGGCAAATCATGCCATCATCGTCCTTTACAATCCGACCATTTCCTCAATTTTTAATTGCCGGCTGAATTAGGTGAAGTAAGGACCCCTTTTACGCCCTTTCTTAATATGCTTTCCTTCATAACTCACATACTTCCATTCATGCCCTAATGACATTTTTTTTAACGTGCCCAGAACATGGAGGTGTACACCGTATGTTATTATACAAGAGGAGGAATTTTATTTTATTTTTTTAAAGTGTCCCTCCATTTGTGTAATGAAATATGGTCAGACACAATGAAAAATCTCTCCATGCCCTACACTCTACATTTAGTAACAAAAAATCGGGTTTTTTGGAAATATTAATTGACATTCATATTTTATGGAACATCAATGTCGACATAAATTTCTTTATGTTATTATGCAAGTGGAGAGAGATTTTTTTTTTTTCTTTCAAGTGTCTCTCTATTTGTGTAATTAGATGGCTTATATGTCCGTATTTGAAAAATATCTCCATGCCCTACACTCTTCATTTAGTAACAAAAAAATTGGGTATTTCGGAAATATTAATTGACACTCATATTTTGCGGAAGCATCGATGTCGATATAAATTTCGAAGGTTAAAAGGGTTGAAATACATTTAAGAAATACTAAGTTGATTAAGCATTCATCAATTAACCATACATTTTTGGTAGAGAGTAGCATATCCATGACAAATTTATTATAAATAAAACATTTTGTGCCACCAACATCATTTTCTTTCAATTTCTTATTTATAAGAATATATTGATATTGAGCCTATATTGTTATCCTTTGTACTCATTTGGACAAAATGTGCATTGTAATCGGCATGGCATCTGCAATTGCAATTGGGTGCATCCAATCACTCATTTTTTTGACACAAACTATAATGTGTTTATACTTGAAGAGAAAACGTTACTGAAAAAGTATTTTCCCGATTTGTATACAAATTTCTCGCTTACATTGGTGTCTCGTTTGAGATTAATTTTTTGGGTTTCCCTAGTCTACAGATTTTTTCCCTAACCCACTGGAAGAAAATAGCTGAGAAAATAAATAAAAATCATCTGCACAAAATAAATAGCCAAAAGACGAAAAAGCCCAATACCCCAAAAGCCACACACAAAGTGTCTAATGTCCCTTCAGTCCTCAACTTCCTCTCCTTCCTTTCCTTCTTCCTCTCCAAGTACTCTTCGTACCTCTTCCTTCCTTCCGCCACCCTCCTCCTCCCCTTTCTTCCCTTTCTGCCCTCCAACGCCCTCTCCAAAATTACCAAACCCTCCTTCCCGTTCAAGTGCATTCCATCCATGTCCTCCACCTGCAAGTTCACCTCCCTTATCTGCATCTCCCCTCCCTCCGACCCCCCGCACGTGACCAATATCCCGCACTGCACGTGCTCCGACGCCGTCGCTTTCTCCCCCGGCAGAATCAACGAGAACCGCGCGTGCACCTCGCCGCTTAGCCAGTGCCGCTGCACCGACACCGGCGCGTGGCTCGAGAGGTTCATCGCCCGCCGTCTGGTCGGGTCGATCATGATCCAGCTCAGCGTCAGCTCGTCCCCGAGGTCGCGACAGGTGTCGGCCTCCTGCCCCTCCGGGTACTTGATTTGGGTGGGGACCACGTCCTTGGGGTCCAGCAGGTCAATCCGGAACGGCGAGCACCGGAACCACCCGGTCACGGTCTCCGTCTCGATGACCTTGCTCAGGATGAGCTTGCCGCGGTGGTAGATATCGACGGCGGAGATTAACTCGCACGGACGGTCCTGATCGTGTTTTGGCGCGATACCGGAGGTTGCGGTTGCGGTTGCGGTGCTGGGCTCCAGATTGGCGAGGAGAGGGAAGGAGTCCGAGAAGAAGGAGAGCGGGCCGGCGGGGAAGGTGGAAATGACTTGGCGCACACGTGGCGCGGCGGTGGAGGGCCACGTGGAGTGGCAGATGTTGGCCCAGAGTGGCTGGTGGGAGGCTAGCGCTTGGAGTTCGGAGGAGGTGCAGGCGGCGGAGGCGAGCGTGGGGCCGTCGAGGCGGGTGAGGATGTGGGTTTGGATTATGTCCGGATGGACGGCGGATATTGAGGCGGAGGTGGCTTTGTCGCCGTCGGTGGACGGCGGTAGGTGGGAGGAGCAAGCCATTTGGGAGTACAGATTGCTTTTTCCAATTAGTTTAGGGGTTTGGGGTACACCGATGAGGACTGAAGAGAGAGGTTTGTATTTTGGGGTTTATATAGCAACGTAACGAGGGGACAATGCTGAAGTCAAGAGCTCCTTAATTATTGACCTTGGGTTTGCAATTTAATTACGAGATTGCCATTTTCATTTTCATTTTCTCTGTGGGTTACAACACTTTCCCTTGACGTGTAAAATGACAAAGCTATATTCCTTCCAAATTAATGGCGTTATAAAGTTTAGATAAGGAGTTGAATTTCAATTGTGGAGTATTAACGAGTTTAATAATTATGAACGGATCAAAATAGATATGAGGCACACACAGACTAAGAAATTCGTTGTGAAGAGTGAAAAATAGGAATGCATGTTACATTTATTTATTATTGCCTCACATATCTAAAAGAAAAAAAGCAAGAGTTTTTGTTCCGGTTCAAGTAAATTATAAACAATTTATATGAAATCAATAACATTCGTACTCTGATTCCGACCATGCTTAATAAACAATTTCAATGGGAAATCAAATGGTGATCCTCCCCAACTAGATTCCTTCCAACTAACAATCAAATACTACAAATACATGAAAATCCAATGGAGCATCTAATTTTAGGGTGAATGTGTCATGGTTGGAACATTAATGAATACAAAAGAATATGAATTGAGCTTACTCTCACAAATCACAAGTTGATATCTTCGATTATCCTTGTAAGTTAGCAAACCTCCCACAACCTCAAAAGGAATAGATTTTTCAGCATACTCGAAATACAGAACGATACGTCATATTAATTATACAATTAAAGAAACACTTAAAAAAAAAACAAACTTTTCACGACTTGTATAACATGTGGCATGTCGTCTCGTGTTCAAAACACACTGAAAAATCTCTCTTGAGAAGTAATGAGGATCCTCTCCAAATCCTTTTTGTGAAGATTCTCAAATCGTGTACATTCATTGTACATCGTGCAGTCAAAAATCATTTTAAATACTTTTATTTAAAATTAAATATAAATAATATCTAATAAAACTAACCGTACAATATATAATAAATGAACATAATTTAAAAATCTCTGAAATTCTTAAAAAAAAATATCAGGAAAGAATTCTCATTTATTGGGAAGGACCTTCAAAGGGTGAAAGGTCCGTCCGAGCCAATAAGACCGACATGATAACATGCACTTAGCATATTTTAATCCAATAAATCATCACATACGCAACCCCACTAATCTTTTTAATTATAATACTAGTTTTTGGTACCTTTCTAAGAAGTTTCTTTCTTGTTATTTTAATCCGTCTTATTAGTCGATAGGTTCACCATGTAAGATTGATTTTTAATTCCTGACGTTGATTGATTTGTATATTCAATTATATTGAATAATACAATATAACAAAGGCCAAATTGAATTAACAATTTTCGTGCTTATAAGGTATTTGAAATATTATTTCTGTTAAAAAAAAATTAGAAATTAAACTTTATAATGAGTTTCGTTAAGATTCAAGCTGAAAATCAAAAGTTTTGTTAATAGGTTGCATCTGAAGATTCTGAACAAAGAATGGTAGTCTTAGATCACATGTGAAGTTCAAGTGCACCCTATTAACAAAATTTTTAATTTTCAGTTTAAATCCTAACGAATCTCATCATAAGGATTTAGTTCTTTATTTTTTACCACGAGGACAATCTCTTTCGATTGCCGTATAATTCCAAGTACCATTAATCAGATTTAACCTATAATAATTTGATAGTTGTAGGCAGGTTACATGGCCCTATCATCCTATCAAGTTTATCTAATTCAAATATACATTTTTGCTTTTAGCTAGGAAAAGTTTATGGACATCACTCTATCATTTTCTTCATCATTTTAAAATTATCTAAAATAAAATAAAATTAATTAACGATTGACATTTTCACAAAGTACTCTCCATTTGTTTACATATGTAGATTACTAAACAATAATTTGATTAATTTTTTGCACAAATTATCTTTGAATATGATTATAATTTTGATAAATAGTATCGTTTATGACATTTGCACGTTTAAAATATGGGAACCACACTTGGGGGAACAAAGAGATGCACCCATAGGGTCCCATGGGGTGAACAAGAATATGTACCTAGTTTATTTGTTTGTAATAAAAAATAAGATGTTACCAACACTTCAAAATGATAATTTTATACTTTTTCATTTATATTTTCTTCCTTGTATTTTTACTAATGAAGAGTGAATAACATTTTTTTTAGTGTGTCAGTAACAGCTTCTTATTTTTTATATGTAAACTTTCTTTTTTTTAGAGTAATTTCTTAATTTTTATAGTTAATTGACAATAGGTAAGAAACACGCTTTCGGAAAGTTGTCGAATAGTGGCAGTGCTCAGTTCAAACATGATTGTTCATCCGGCATTAAAATATATGAACAAGTCATTTTCCGCAGCTGTTTAGGGTTAGAGATTGTTTGATTAAGTGGACTTTTAGACCAAATTCTTAAGTTTAATTAGGTGGTTTCGTTGTTTTCAAATATTATCAGTCGTCATGGATTAGTTGGTAAATACATCGAGTGCCTACTAAATCAAATCCACATTATTCACTAGTAAAAAACTCTTAATATAAATGAAAAGACATAATGGCTGTGGAAACATCCGAGTTGATGACCACATAATACTGATATCGATATGGAAATATTCGCAAAATTAAGAGTGAATATTGAAAGGAGAGTGAAATATAAACTTGATAGCTTACCAAGGCGATAATAAGTAGTTGGTCTGAGAGGATGACCAACCACATTGGAACTGAGACACGACCCAGACTCCTACGGGAGGCAGCAATGTGGAATTTTCCGCAATGGGCAAAAGCTTGACGGATGTTTGCCGAGAAAGAAGGTGCACATGAAGGTGTTAGGTTGGTGTGGCGTAGTGGAAGTAGAGCAAGAAGGGTGTCAGCTAGGCAATGGTCGTTCGTGATATTGTTCCCTTTGTTTGATCCGCAGTTCCAGCTATAGAGTCAGAGAGAAAGATGTGGGCGTTCATTTAGGCTTCGATAAGTAAGCAGTTGTTAGACACCGCCTTTAGATATAAATAAGGATGGCTAAGAGAGTTTCTAGTTTCATTCTGACATTGACACGTGTCGTGTTGTGATTAGCTTCTGATGTTGACAATTATCGCTCTATAATTGGATTCTGATGTCGACACGTGTCGTGCTGTGATTGGCCTCCTGGTTGGAGGGAAACTCTTCTGGGTTTTTTACGGTATAACATTGACTGGTGCTCAGTAGTTTCGGGATTGGTCAAGTATGATACAAACAGTGCTCCCCTAAGTTCCCGAGTGAGGGAAGCTCCTTGGTTGGGGACTTGCAAGATCCAAGCTATTGAGTAATCACGAAACTTCTAAGTACCGAAGTGTGGTATCATTTTCACTTGCCTTATCTGTCTCATACGTAGATGTGACATCTTCTCTGGAAGTAATTTTCTTCCATCCAGGGGTGGTATCTTTAACCGATGAAGATGCACAAGGTAATGTATCAATTTCACTTGAGGCTTACTTGTAGTTTCGGGCTTGGTCAAGTGCGATACAAAACCCTATAGTAGGAGTCTCCTAAGTCGCCAAGCTAGGAGATTGACTGAAAGAGGTAACAGACAAGGTAAGCAATCAGACTTCAAAGCAAGCAACCTAGATCGGAGGTTCGACTTTGGCTTTCGGTTGATTGTTCTCCTTCTCCTTGTGTCGTAAACAGCAACAAGGATAAGGAGAAGCAAATGGAGAAGAGATGATATGAGATACTTTTGCTTTTGAAGAAATAACTTTCCACATGCTTATTCTTGAACTGGGCTGGAGGGTTTTCTGGTTTCCTCCAGAGTATAAGGCCGACTCAAGAATTTGAGGGTCAAAACAAGTCCATCAAATTAAGAGTGCGTTCGACCTTGATGATATAGGATACTTTTGCTATTGACGAAGTAATAGATGAATCGGCATGTGTTATGTTGCGCTTGTCTCCACATGCATTCTTCCTTGTATCCTTCTCACTTGCCCTATCTGTTCCTCAGGCAGATGTGGTATATTTTCTGGAAGCATAAGATGTTGAAGATGAGTACTCGAGAGCAATGCCAGGTAAGTAATCAGGTAAGGGGTTCCAGGCAGTCAATTCCTGACTGGAAGCTTGATTCCAAGTGCTGACTGATTGCTCTATTTCTCCTTGTCTTGCAGGTAAGAACAAGGGTAAAGGAAAAGACAGGGAAAAAGCATGATATGGGATACTCTTGCTTTTGACCCTGATGATATGAGATACTCTTGCTCTGGTGTGGTTGGTTTGCATAGGTATTATTGGGGGGGGGGGGGGAAGAAAACTGAGTATTTCGAGAGGCTTTGTTGGGAGTGCCCTTTCAGATATGAGGAAGGGTTGAACATTTTTGCAGGTCTGCCTGTCTGTGGAGGATAGAGGTCGACATATATAGGAGTCTCCCTAACAACAAGTAATAATGCTATTCCTTTACCCTTCTTGGTCGTAGCAATGTAGTGGGAGCTGCAAGCTTCACGTGTTTTAACTTTGTCAGAGCACTTTGAAAAAGTGGTCTGTGGTATCTGGAAAGCTAATGTTGCGTGTGAAGATTGCAGACAAGCTTTATCCAAGGAAATCTGGCTCTCGAAGTTCGGAGAGCGGTGCCTCTTCGGTTTTCGAACAAGCAATCCTATCGAGGATCTGGCTCTCGAGATTCGGAGAGCGGTGCCTCTTCGATTTTTGAGATAGCAATCCTGTTAGGAGTCTGGCTCTTGAGATTCGGAGAGCGGTGCCTCTTCGACTTTTGAGAAAGTAATCCTGTTGGGAGTCTGGCTCTTGAGATTTGGAGGGCGGTGCCTCTTCGATTTTTGAGCAAGTAATAATGTTATTCCTTTACCCTTCTTGGTTATAGCAATGTAGTGGGAGTTGCAAGCTTCACATGTTTTAACTTTGTCAGAGCGCTTTGAAAAAGTGGTCTGTGGTATCTGGAAAGCTGATGTTCCGTGTGAAGATTGCAGACAAGCTTTATCCAAGGAAATCTGGCTTT